ATCCTGGGAAAAATTGCGGGCAAGAAGAGAAGGAGGCGACAGAGGATGAGATCGTTGGATAGTATCACTGACTCAAAGGACAGAAGTTTGAGCAAACTCCAAGAGACGGTGAAGGGCAGGGAAGACTGGTGTGCTGCAGTCCATGGGACAGCAAAGAGCCAAACATGACTGAGTGACTGAACAGCAGCTCACATTCTGAGATGGCCCACGCTGTCCAGTGTGTGTTTCTCTTTAAGTAAATCCACTTCTTACCTATCATTTTGTCTCTCACTGAATTCTTTCTGTAATGAGACATCAAGAACCTGAGCTTCATTGAGTGCTGAAACCAGGTATGTGATCTCAGTTGGAAGATTGTGAGTTCAAGTCCCAATCTGAGGTGCATAGTGTTAACAGGAACGGCTAGTCTTATAGGGAAATCACCCCCACTCCCACACCCAGTTTCTGTGTTGCCACTTCTAAGGCTGCATAAATGTCACTTTTGCCCAAATTCCCTTGGGAAGAGAGCTCTACTTGTGAGGCACTGCACTTCCCAATCCATGGACTGTTTTCCCTTGAATAAAGGACATCACACTTGCTACTAAAATGTATTATTTCTGTCATTTAACACCATCTTTTGGGCTTCCCTGGTAGCTCAGCTGGTAAAGAATCTGCAATGCAGGAGAACCCGGTTCGATTCCTGCATCGGGAAGATCCGCTGGAGAAGGGATAGGCTACCCACTCCAGTATTCTTGGGCTTCCTTTGTGGCTCAGCTGGTAAAGAGTCTGCCTGCAATGCAGGAGACCTGGGTTCGAACCCTGGGTTGGGAAGATCCCCTGGAGAAGGGAACAGCTACCCACTCCAGTATTCTGGCCTGGAGACCATGAGGTCACAAAGAGTCGGACACAACTGAGCGGCTTTCACTTTCACAGGGAAGACACTAGGCTGCAGAGGATGAGATGGTTAGATAGCATCACCGACCTAATGGACATGAATCTGAGCAAACTCCAGGATACTGGAGGACAGAGGAGCCTGGTGTGCTACAGTCCATGGCGTCACAGAGAGTCGGACATGACTTAGTGACTCAACCTCAGTTAATGAAGGCTGTCCATCAAAATGTATTTTCGGCTGATTCAGTGCACAAGAAAACGTGAGATGCCCTGGAATTTTACAGCTCATTAAGAAAGCTGCAAGACGTTTTTCCCATTCAGACAACAGTCCTAAATTTTACATGACATGGACAACAAGGGAGGGCGCGGCAGCGGGAGGGGAGCTGGGTGTGCGAACACTGCCAAGTGTGGCTGTGGACGGCGGGCACAGAGAAGAGTCAGGGTGGTAGTCAGTAAGTCTTGTTTTGCACAAGTTGAGTTTCAGCTACAAAGGGAACATCGGACTGAATGGGGTGGAGTAGAGGCTGGTGTTAGAAACAGGGATCTGCAAATCACCGAGACAGGAAAAGAAGCTGGGAGCAGACGAGAGAACCCTGGGGGACAGAGGAGGGGACGACTGGAAAACAGTAATGATTAAAGGGCTGGGGGAGAGAAAAGGGAGCCTTAAAAAAAGACAAGAACTGGTTTAAAAGGCAAGAAGAGAACTAAAGGTGTCTAATGTCCCTGAAACCATGGAAAAAGTGAGCATGATGAAAGTGGTTTACAGGGCTGGAGACTTCAGAGGTCAAACTGGAAGAACGGAAAAGTATTGTTGGGTTAACAGCTCGGTCAGCTGTGACCCGTGAGAACACCTGCAGCTGCCTGGCCAGGCTGGAATTGAGGTGCCAGTGCATCACAAGAGAGTTTTCTAGGTGGCAGGGGGTGGGGGGAGGGGGTGGTAACTATCTGTAAACCACCAATGGTTAGGTAAGCGTTTTCTACTGATTCCTTTGGCTGAGCCCTCTGAGCTCCCTGGAAAACAGGTCAAGGTGGACGCCTGACCCATCCCCGCACACTGGCCAGGCCAGAGCTGCAGCCTTCCTTCTCCACTTCCTCCCAACCCCAGGAGTTCTTCAAGCAGGTACACTTTCTCCTCCCCCTGTCCGTTCTCCCCTGTACAACCCAGTCAGGTGCTAATGAAAACCCAAAAGGCCCCAGGGGTGGTGGGGTGGATAGCAGGGAGAAGCACGTGGGTAGGAGGGTGAAGGACAGGCAGGTTACGGCAGCACCAAGAAGGAAGCTGGTGTGATTACTGGTATCGGCATATGGCAGAGAAATCCAATGTTTTACGTTTCAGTCTGTCTAACTCTATAAACAGAATTAATCAGACACCTAATTTACACTTCCATGACAAAATTTTACTGTCTTAAAGTCTAATCTCAAAAAAGAAACAGGGAACAGCATTCCTAAATCCACTGCATCGAGTTTCAGGTATACACAATTTAGAAGGGACATTTATTTTGCAGAGGAGGAATAGTTCAATTTCTAATACTTTCTAATACTTCTGTCAAACAGAGTGAAGTATAACTTTCCAGCAAGAGATGTATTTCAGGCAGAGCATGACACTACTGATAAATATGACCATCAGATAGAACCCTTTCTCAAAAATACCTGGTGTAACCACTTTTTTAAAAAAGTTCTATTCATCTTGAGAACTCTAAGTTATCTATGGGTTCCTACTGAATAAGTCATGAAGAAACTATGGATGGGCTGATAACAAGGAAATCATTTCATGTGATTTCTCTAGTGATACCAAAGTGTGGGCAAAAATGACACATAACATCAATATTAAGTTATTCCCTTGGTTCACTGATGCTCAGTTGTGGCAAAAATATAATGACAGAACAAAAAATGAAAAGCAAAATACCATCGAGGCCTCAGAAAGCTTTGTCTTAGTTTCAAAAAGCTGTATATTACAAAGAAATCCTGTAAAAACCTTCCAAGGTGGGTGCTTTTTGTCACTGTTAGTTTTAGGGGTTTTTTTAATCAGCTAGTTAGAAAAACACTGTTGGTGCTGGATGACAAACACTGACTTGCTTTGGTGCAAACTAAAGACTGCCTTAGTGCCAACAGCTAACATTAAAGGAATAATTATTGCTTAGAGAAGCCATAATGTGCTCCACCAATCACAAAGGATAGTCAAACTGAAAAAAGTCACTTTGGACACTGGAACTTCTGGGTTTACGTTAGTAAAACCCCACTACGACAGTAATCTCTTCATGTAGAAGTATTTTTACAGTATTTTAAGGTGCTCACATCTCCCATGTGATTCTCACAAGCAAGTAGTCGGAAAGGGAGGCATTATTACTATCACGTATAGTAATCTCAGTAAACTGAAATTTCCCAGAGCACCAAGGACCAGCTTCCCACTGCCACTCGCAGCAAAGGCATTCGGAGCCACTGCACAGGCGGGAATGCGACCCAAGTCTGTGGCAGGAGCCGGCGAGCCTCTTTACAGTGGGTTTTGCTCCAGGGTGGTTAACACATGGCTAAATCAGTGTGCACAGACTCAACATAACGTTTAAACCAATTTTATAAGGTATAAAACTTTCCAGTTCTCAAAGCCCACCCAACAACCTACACTGTCTACTCTCAGTACCTTGGTGAAACAGCAGAGACCATAAAATGCATGCATGTGGGCAGCTGATTAGTTAGCAGCAGAAAGAGGAACTCAGGCCTGTACGTGCCCAGTTCCAAGCCATTATTGCTTAAATAAAAGACAATAAAATATACCCATAAAGCAAACAATCAACTGGGACAAGAAGAGACAGCTAGCTCTAACTCATTTTCTACAGAATACTTAAAAAACAAAACAAAACAAAAATGCTATTCCCAAAGAGCCCGAACCAGCAAAGGAATGAGAGCTCTCTACCCAGGGTGGTCACGTGGGCACAGAAATCTGAATGCTTTTTAAGGAAAAACAAAGCAAAGAATCAATGTCACTGCAGAGCCTACAATAATAATACATGTCTGAAAATCCTGCCTATGATTTTTCCAAAGTTATTAACTGAGACAAACCATTAGAAAGACCTACATGGTCAAACTAATTTAAACAAAGTGTTGGGCCAAAATGGCAACTTCAAGAATGATAAGCCCCAAAAGCTTAAACAGGGTTGACCTTTTGAATAAATATTTGCCTTCAATTCTACAATGAAGGATAGCACCTCATTAGATGAATAGCCTTTACTCTGCTTTCAGAAAAACAGCTATTAAGCTTTCACTAAACTTAAAGTGCAATGTTTCCTAACAATAGGAATATAGAATGGCACAGAACTTCAATTCTCTTTCCAACACAACCTTTAGTGATCAGGAAACAAAATTCCACCTAAACCCTCTCCGTCCCCACAATCACTGAATGGTTCTAGTTTTCCTACCAAATAATAAAATAGTCAGGTTTTCTCTACACTGCCAACTTTGTGAAACACAAAGGATACAGCAGTCGTACCGGTAATAACAGTACCACCAGGTACTGTGTGCCTTTGGACTACAACCTGTGCCACTGATGTTCTATGTTTTGCCTCACTGAACGCCTAAAATAAAACTCACAAGGGGCTAAAAAGTTCTTGAATATGAACTCAAGAACATCTAAAGCATCGTCGCTGTATTTTTGCAAACCCAACAAACATATCTGCAAGTTCTGGAAGCACCAGAACTGCCTAAAGGAGCCTGAGAGAGCACAGAGCATAGAAACCTGCAAGCAGAAGAGCAACTCCTAGAAAAAAACAATGGTACCTCAAAATCATTCTTCAAAAACCATAAGTCAGTCATTCTTGATGTTTCTTAGGAATCTGATGAAAGCTATGGATCTTCTTCCCAGAGACATACAAAAATTTTGCATCATTTTAGAACGGTTAGACTCCTAACATCCATCTACATATTTTTAAAAATTCTCAACTGATTGAGCTAAGAATCAACAGAATGAGATTAAAAAAAAAAAGAAAGAAATGGACACAAGAGTTCTTTAGAAATTGTTTGAAACGCTCGCACAATTCTGCTCGTGTAAGTGTTCCTAGTTTTGATGCTTCTGACAAATCTTCTGCAAAGACTTCACCAAAGTAAAGAAGGGAGTTTTAGGTGCTACCACTGACGCTCACCGTTTTCCTGTGCAATTCTTGTCGTTCAGGCCACCAACCTTGTTTATGGCAGACCACGCTGTGAGAGCCACGTACGGCAAGGAGGCGGCTTGAGTATGAGTGAGTGATCTGGGCTTGTGAGAGACCTAGATTTGAAGACAACAGTCAAAAATAAGCAGTGATTTGTGAACCTATGAACACAATTAAGTACACCTAACAGTCTGCCAGGTTCAGCGATTATCATAAACCCTGCTCTAAGATTATTCCTAAGGAATTTCTCCAAACGACTCAATCTGCCAAGCAGAAGGGTCAGTAAGGTTTTATAGGTTACATTATTGGATAAGCTGTTTAATTCTTCACAAAAAGACCACATTCAACAATCCCATTAGTCCTAACTATGGCCAGAAACAAATCCAAATGCAACTTAAGCCCTCATAAATACATTCTAATTTGTTTTTGTGGTTAGCTGTTTCCTTTACTCTCACTCCATGGGTAAATAATCCACCTGTAGGAGACACAGGAGATGCAGGTCAGATCCCTGGGTCGCGAAGATCCCCTGGAGGAGGAAAACGGCAACTCACTCCAGTATTCTTGCCTGGAAAAGGCCCTGGACAGAGGAGCCTGGCGGGTCACAAAGACTAGGACACAACTGAACACACAGCACAATCTTTCCAGACTTCTCTAATCTCAGTAATACCCCTTTCCCTCCTCCTGCTCTCCCTTCTGCAGCCAATTTCCTTAATATTAACCCCTTTCTTTCTAATTAAACTGTCAGGCCTCCTGACTGCATTTGATTAGACTCCTGTTTTGAAAGTTATTTGAAACAGCTTGATATTTCCAATGCTTCCATTTATGATGAATCAGTATGCTCCATTTGGTATATTTGGTTTCAACAATTTACACTGAGGATAAAACCAAAGAACACAGCAGGGTTTCTAGATCTCACAAATCCCTGCTCCACAAGATGCAGATAACTGCTCTGGCAGCCAGCCTATTTAAATGACATCCAATACATTTTTAAATGTTTTTAAAAATTCCTATTCTCTCAGTTCTTTTGAAACTACCCATAAAACTTGAACCTGATTTTTAAAAAAAACAACAAAAAACCACCAATTATCTCAGAGATAGTGGTCAGTCTTTGTTTCCACTTTCCAACAGCATTTCAGCACAGAACTGGGGAGTTACCTCATTCCCACTGACAACAACGAATTCTGACAGAGTGCCTTGTTTCCAGGGAGGAACTGCAGCCCAGACCTGAAACACACACACTGTTCGTTAGAAACAGATCTTTTTAAAGCAAAGCTAAGCATGACAGTGTTCCCCAACACATACCCCACACCCTGTGAGAAAAAGCACAAGTCCACAACCCACCAAACAAAAGTTACTTTCACATGATATCAATGTATTATTTAGAATGATTCTGGATTTACCAAGTCAAACCACATTGGAGGTCAGGTCAGTTCAGTCCAGTCACTCAGTCGTGTCCAACTCTGCAACCCCAAGGACTGCAGCACGCCAGGCCTCGCTGTCCATCACCACCTCCCAGACTTTACTCAAACTCATCTCCATTGAGTCAGTGATGCCATCCAATCATCTCATCCTCTGTCATCCCCTTTTCCTCCTGCCTTCAATCTTTCCCAGAATCAGGGTCTTTTCCAATGAGTCAATTCTTCCCATCAGGTGGCCAAAGTATTGGAGTTTCAGCTTCAGTGTCAGTCCTTCCAATGAATATTCAGGACTGATTTTCTTTAGGATGGACTGGTTGGATCTCTTTGCAAAGTGCAAGGGACTTGCAAGAGTCTTCTCCAACACCACAGTTCAAAAGCATCAATTGTTCGGCACTTAGCTTTCTTTATAGTCTAACTCTCATATTCATACACGATTTATGGAAAAACCATACCCTTGACTAGATGGACCTTTGCTGGCAAAGTAATGTCTCTGTTTTTTAATATGTTGTCTAGGTTGGTCATAACTTTTCTTCCAAGGAGTAAACGTCTTTTAATTTCATGGCTGCAGTCACCATCTGCAGTGATTTTGGAGCCCCCCAAAATAAAGTCAGCCACTGCTTCCACTGTTTCCCCATCTATTTGCTATGAAGTGATGGGACAGGACGCCATGATCTTAGTTTTCTGAATGTTGAGCTTTAAGCCAACTTTTTCACTTTCCTCTTTCAATTTCCTCAAGAGGCTCTTTAGTTCTTCACTTTCTGCCATCAGGGTGGTGTCATCTGCATATCTGAGGTTATTGATATTTCTCCTGGCAATCTTGATTCCAGTTTGTGCTTCCCCCAGCCCAGCGTTTCTCATGATGTCTCTGCATGTAAGTTAAACAAGCAGCGTGACAATATACAGCCTTGACATACTCCTCTCCCTATTTGGAGCCAGTCTGTCGTTCCACGTCCAGTTCTAACTGTTGCTTCCTGACCTGCATACAGGTTTCTCAAGAGGCAGTTCAGGTGGTCTGGTATTCCCATCACTTGAAGAATTTTCTACAGTTTGTTATGACCCACACAGTCAAAGGCTTTAGCATAATCAATAAATCAGAAAGAGATGTCTCTCTGGAACTCTCCTGCTTTTCCGATGATCCAGCGGATGTTGGTAATTTGATCTCTGGTTCCTCTGCTTTTTCTAAAACCAGCTTGAACACCTGGAAGTTCAGGGTTCACATACTGTTGAAGACTGGCTTGGAGAATTTTGAGCATTACTTTGCTAGTGTGTGAGATGAGTGCAATTGTGAAGTAGTTTGAGCATTCTTTGGCGTTTCCTTTCTTTGGGATTGGAATGAAAACTGACCTTTTCCAGTCCTGTGGCCACTGCTGAATTTTCCAAATTTGCTGGCTTATGAGTGCAGCACTTTCACAGCATCATCTTTTAGGATTTGAAATAACTCAACTGGAATTCTATCACCTCCACTAGCTTTGTGCGTAGTGATGCTTCCTAAGGCCCACTTGACTTCACACTCCAGGATGTCTAGGTCTAGGTGAGTGATCATACCATCATGATTATCTGGGTCGTGAAGATCTTTTATAGTTTTTCTATGTATTCTTGCCACCTCTTCTTAATATCTTCTGTTTCTGTTAGGTCCATACCAATTCTGTCCTTTATTGAGCCCATCTTTGCACGAAATGTTCCAATCAATTTTACTGAAGAGATCTCTAGTCTTTCCCATTCTGTTCTTTTCCTCTATTTCTTTGCACTGATCGCTGAGGAAGGCTTTCTTATCTCTCCTGGCTATTCTTTGAAACTCTGCATTCAAATGGGAATATCTTTCCTTCTCTCCTTTGCTTTTCGTTTCTCTTCTTTTCACAGCTATTTGTAAGGCCTCCTCAGACAGCCATTTTACTTTTTTGCATTTCTTTTTTCTTGGGAATGGTCTTGCTCCCTGTCTCCTGTACAATGTCATGAACCTCCATCCATAGTTCATCAGGCACTCTATCAGATCTAATCCCTTGAATCTATTTGTCACTTCCACTGTATAATCATATGGGATTTGACTTAGGTCATACCTGAATGGTCTAGTGGTTTTCCCTGCTTTCTTCAGTTTAAGTCTGAGTTTGGCAATAAGGAGTTCATGATCTGAGCCACAGTCAGCTCCAGGTCTTTTTTTTGCTGACTGTATAGAGCTTCTCCATCTTTGGCTGCAAAGAATATAATCAATCTTATCTTGGTGTTGACCATCTGGTGATGTCCATGTATAGAGTCTTCTCTTGTGTTGTTGGAAGAGGGTGTTTGCAATGACCAGTGCATTCTCTTGGCAGAACTCTATTAGCCTTTGCCCTGCTTCATTCTGTACTCCAAGGCCAAATTTGCCTGTTACTCCAGGTGTTTCTTAACTTCCTACTTTGGCATTCCAGTCCCCTATAACAAAAAGCACATCTTTTTTGGGTGTTAGCTCTAGAAGCTCTTGTAGGTCTTTCACAGAACTGTTCAACTTCAGCTTCTTCAGCATTACTGGTTGGGGCATAGATTTGGATTACCGTGATACTGAATGGTTTGCCTTGGAAACAAACAGAGATCATTCTGTCGTTTCTGAGATTGCATCCAAGTACTGCATTTTGGACTCTCTTGTTGACTATGATGGCTACTCCATTTCTTCTAAGGGAGTCTTGCCTTCAGTAGTAGATATAATGGTCATCTTAGTTAAATTCACCCATTCCAGTCCATTTTAGTTCGCTGATTCCTAAAATGTCGCCATTGGACATAGACAGCAGTAAATCCTGCTGTATTTACTCGCTACTTAGAGCACCAGCAAGAACATATTCTCTGGAGCTTTAATCCTGGCTTCTATCACTTATTTGCTGTGGGACCTCTTTATACCTTGACTCTCACCTGTAGACTGGCCTAACTGTACTTACTTTACAGAGATTAGATTAGGGTGGTTTTTTTTCTAATGAAAAAACAACTAGAACAGTCCTATTATTATGAGCTGACTTTAATTTCTTGGTATAAAAGTTCAAAGTGACAAGGGACAGGTGATTATATCAAACCTTTAGCTATTTTAAAACCATCTAACCCATAAGATAGAAATGGTCATTTAAAGACTTAAAAAGTCCCAATCATGTTTTTTTCACTTGTCTACATTTTTTATTTAAAAAATTTTGTTAATTGGAGGGTAATTGCTTTATAAGCTTTACAACGCTGTGCTGCTTTCCACTGTACACCACTGTGAACCAGCTCTAAGTATGCATGTACCCCTCCCTCTTGAGCCTCCTTCCCCACATGTATCCTAAAGTCTTGCAATTCTCAGGCACTAGCTTTACAATGGTCAAGCACAGCAAGCTACTGTGACAGAACCAGAAAACAGAACCATGAACTGAACCAAGAAAAGGAGGGCTACAGCCAAAGCTCAGTATATTCGTTGAAAAGAAGAAGAAAAGATCAGCGATATGGAATATACTTCCGAAAGCAGGAGAATGAAACCAGCCAATTTTGAAAAGGAATAGTGGAATGTGATAACTCACCTCATCTCCAGGTTTGAAGTACCTGACATCAAGTCCACACTCCATCACCACACCAGACACATCCCGACCCAGAGTCAGAGGAAATTCTTCTCCTTTGATTTTAACATGTAAAGGATCACGTTTCATATTTAAAGCTGTGGCTCCATAACCACCTAGAAGATACAATTTACTTTTTTCTTCCAAAAGAACGGGATGGTTTCAAAACTGCTGCAGTTACAGGTCAGGTACAATTCTAGATCCTCAAGAAGTAGATTATAAGGTAACCAATATTATAAATTTTTTACCATCACACAGGAAAGCATAAAAACAATGAGTGTTGTTCCTTTCAAAGAAAATTACTAGGAAAGTTATAATCACTTTTTAAGAAATTTTATATTGGAGTATAGTTAATTAACAAATAATCACTTTTTGAAATTCTAATTCTGAAACAGTCTTCAGAACTGGTCTTTGAAGATGGTTTCCTTATTAATTTATTCATTCATGAACTTTTTCAACACGAAATGGTTTGAAGCCAAGGCTGGTGAAGTAGATAAATGTTAAAGTTGTCTGAAGTTAATAAGCAAATAAATAAGGTATAGGTATAGTACCTCATACTAAGACACTGGTCTACGAGTAATTGTCCCCATCTCCCAAAAACTGTTTCTAAAACACCTTTGGGTTAAGTTTAAGATTCCCAAATGGAAAAGAACCACTTGGCTACATCAACTCTGATATGCTAAATCAGGCTGATTGTGTTATTATATACCTTTTTTATTTAAGAATATTTACATAACTATCAACTAAACTAAAAATGTTCCTCTGATCACTATTTTTCCCCCAAATAAATTGGCTACATATAATAATCCAAAGTAGTTTTTACACATCTTCCACACATAAAATGGTTTTCCTAAGACACAAAACTGTCTGCTGTCATCTTTTCTGCTTGACATCCTCCTGAGAACATTTCTGCTACGTGAGGGTCTCCAAGATAAGCACCTTGCTTATCTTTCTAGGGGGATGCACCACAATTCATGCTCCAGAATCACTAACCATTCTGAAAGTCTCCCCTTTTCTCCCACTCATCCTCATCAGATCTTAAGGATGAGGAGAAACCAGCAAAGGAGCCCAAGAAGGCTTGGCCAGTGAAAAGGTATCCAGAAAGTCAAGTGAAGAGGGCCATTTAAAGAAGTCAGATGCTGCTGTCAAGGAAGAAAGTTTTCAAACAAGGTCAAGAGCTGCCAAGAGACCTTTAAGAAACAAAAAAACTTCCCCCAAAAAACAAGATATTGGATCCAACAGCACAGAAGTCTTTGGTGACCTTTTTATGGAGCAGTTGCTATGGCATGGGGTGGCAGAGAGAATGCGAATGAGGAACTGAACACCATGAGAACATTCAACTCTTCCAAATATTGATAGTATTGCTATAGAGAGTGGAAAAATGGGGCAGTGGCTAAAGAAGGCAAAGCGAGATGGAGGATTTTTGGTGGTGGGTGGTGGTGGTTTTTGATACGTTGTGTCCGACTCTTGTGATCCCACAGACTGTACTCCACCAGACTCCTCTGTCCATGGGATTCTCCAGGCAAGAATACTGGAGTGAGTTGCCATTTCCTCCTCCAGGGGATCTTCCCAACCTAGGGATCAAGCCCTGGTCTCCTGCATTGCAGGTGGATTCTTCATGCCTGAGCCACCAGGGAAGCCCACTGAAGGACTTTTAAGCCTTTTTTTTTTTGGTCCTTTTTATGAGTGGAGAAATAACAGCAAGTTTTATGCCAGTGTGAGCGATCCAGGGGAAAGGAACACACTGAAGATGCAGGAGACAACTGCTGAAACAGTGCTCCTGAGTGGGTGAGCAGGCATGGGGTCTAGAACCTTGGTGGAGGGCTGGCCTCAGATGGGAACAATGACATTTAATCCATACAGCCAGAGGTAGAGAATACAGGGAGAGAGGCTGACAGGGGAGTGCAGAAGTTGTTTTTCTAATAAAAAATCAAGACACATGGAAGAAAGCATTTTAAAGTTGGGAAAGTCCCAGAAAATCTAAACTGAAGGCCACCATGCTGGTATTAGATTTATGCCAACTGGATAGTTAGGAGTGCATTCTACCAGGGGGAAAATAACTTCCCATGTAACACTCACAAAAATCACATCTTAGTCTTCCTGTCTTACATTCCTTTTCCACCTCTCAAACACAATAAAACAATTATTCACTGAAATTCCTATGTGATTTGATCAACAAAAGTGGGAATTTAGTCAAGTCAAATTTTCAAGCTGCCAACAACAACAACAACAACAACAACAACACTCCAGTCCCTTTCTGAGCTTCAGAGCCTGCAAAAGAAAGCTGTTTTCTCGGTTACTTGGATATCGACTGAGTAGTCCTGGCTCACTGGTACCAGCTAAACTAGTACCAAATCCAGAAATAGCTGGTAGTTATGAACTGAGAACCTTCTTAGAGACAGTGAATGGGGAACCTTAGCAGTTCTGTGCCACTGTTAGAGGTCATCAGTTTGGTTCAGAGATGGAATGACCTGGAAAATCCTAAATCTGCCATTAGTTTCAAAAGCTTTGATCTCATCTAAAGAAACCAAACTTTGTTGGTATGATGCTCTTGGCTGCATTTTTTTTTCTATTTTAAGATTATTCATTTTTCATCACCCATTTATATGATTTACAATTTTATATCCAACAACAGTAGCCATCTCCAGAAAAATAGCTGGCTCTCATCTTTCAAAATAGACATGTCCCTGCTTTCTTGTCAAGAGAAATAATGCTCCCTATGGTTTACAATTTCATTTCTCCAAGTTACCATTTCAGGTATCTTCTGCAACAATAATCATACATTCTCAAAAAAGAATCCATGGGCAGGAAATACAGAGGATAACTACAAATAATATTACCCAGTCAAGTCATTAAAAAACTATGATGCCTCAAGAATACTATATAAAAGTAAAATGTGTTATTAAATAGCAGTCAAGAAAGTCCAGATTCAGCCATTCTGATATTAAAATATACAATGTAACACAAATACATAAACTGTGCATGTGCATTCAAAGAAATGAAAAGTTAACAACTTATTGACTGGAGATGTATTAATACATCTTTTGTCACTTGAACATTACTGACCAGAGATCTTTCATAAAATTGCTGGTCACAGGCACTGATTTCTACAAAAATCCCCTGGTCAATAATGTGTTAACAGATCTAAACAAAGACAAAAAGCTTTTAAAAATTGCTCATGGATTAAAAAAAAAAAAATTTTTTACTCTGTAATCAAATTAGAATGAAAATCTAAAATGACATTAATGACTGAATGATGACTACATGTGTGAAACAGCAAAAAAGGCTATAGTTGAAAAGGGCATGGGATCTACCTTCAAAGAGCTTATAATCAAGGAGATGGCAAATACATACTGCTCACTAGGTATCAATCTACCACTTAAAGATAACTTCAACACGAGTCTCCCTGTTGGCTCAATGGTAAAAAATTCATCTGCCAATGCAGGAGACATGGGTTCAATCCCTTATGGGAGAAGATCCCACATACCACAGAGTAAGTCCATGTGCCACAACTACTGAGCCTGTGCTCTAAAGACAGGGAGCTACAGCTGAGCCCACGTGCCCTAGAATCCATCCACTGCAACAAGAAGCCACTGCAATGAGAAGCCCGAGCACTGCTGCTAGAGAGCAGTTCATGCAGCAAGGAAGACCAAGCACAACCCAAAATAAACAACAGAACCTTTTTTAAAAAAAGGTAATTCTGAGAAAAACTAAATTATCTTCATGCCCCATGGAAACAGAATAAGCTGAAACACCTAGTAGCAGCAACTATTCTAAGCCAACAAACGGAATACACGTGTATATTTCATGGGGCAATCACCATAAAATCATTTAAACTTGTATCTCTTTCCCCACAAAGAAATGTGTAATAGCTGTTCCCCATATGTCTAGATCAGCACTGCCCAACAGGGATGTAATGCAAGCCACATATCTAACTTAAAATTTTCAAGCAGACACTAAAGAGTGAAAAGAAAGTGAAATTAATGCTAATAATATTTTACTTAATATATCCAAAATATTATCAGATCAATATGTAATGAATGTAAAATTAATAAGACATTTTACACTCATTTTTTACTAAGTCTTGAAATCTAGTGTATATTTTACACTAACTGTACATCCCCATTCAGACTAGCCACATTTCAATTGCTCACTTTTTGTCCTTATTTTCCAAAGTTAAAGTAATTCACAAACAGTAATCAATCTTTTCAGCACTGTAATAACTGAATAAGGAATATAGTGCACTCCAAGCTTTGTCAATAACCTCTAGCAGAAATTAAGATAACATTATTTCCATTGAAGATGGAGCACAAGAGAAAAGCGTATTTTAACTTCCAAGGGCAGAACGCAACAACAAAATGAGGAAAAGTACTGTGTCCATATCTTGGAGTCCTGTTCTGCTGCTTTGTCCACTGGACCATTAGAAAAAGCTGGGAGTAGTGGAAGGGCAAACACAAATTACTACGAAAGGCAAATTCTGAACTGATGTGACAATATAACCATACCTTTAAAACCTGTGATGGACCTCAGAATATCATAAAGTTCCCAGCAAAGTGTACCAGAAAATTAGCTGTGGATACAATTCTCAAGTCCCAATTTACATTTTTAAGGTAGCACTGGAAGCAATTCAAACTTATATTTTGTAAAAGATTAAAGCATACCATGGACATTGCCAGTTCAAAAATTTTTGAAATACCTACTGAGATACTGTCAAAAGCCTAAACCATTTCTTTGTGTTAACCCCCCCAAAAGTAGTCAATAACAACTAATCTTTTAAAACTGATCCCTGATGAGGCTGTCTCAAGTTAAAAACAAAAAGGTAATGAGCAATGTCTTTTGAAACTTACTTCTCATATTAACATCTATAGGATTTATACTTGCAGCGTGAACTTTGATAATGACTTCATTTGGATAGTGAATCATTGGTATCATCATGTTCTGGGTAAATCGAAGCACTTCATTACTCCCATATTTATCAATCACCCAAGCAGGCATGACAGTGCTTCTTGGAGAGGTAGTACTAATTTTTCGAACTGAAGGCTTTTGTACAACTTGGCTTCTCCAAAGGCAAACCGCAGTGTATGCACTTCTTCTAAACACACAAGTCTTCAAAAATCCCATTGTAAACAGTGGTTGAATCACGTGCCCTAATTAAAAGGCACTTAAACGGGATCAACCCCTCACACCTGAATTCCGTCAAATTCTGCCAAACACCCTGGCCGATTTCAAAGCTGAGAATTTTAAAATGAAGACAGACTAAAGGAGCAATCAAAGTAAGAAGAGTATGGATCTACTTTACTCTTCACATCTGAAATGCTCCAATTAACATTCCAATCAGTATGCCATTCATTCTCCTCCTCCCTTACACCCGCTCCCCTTGAAAACAAAACCCCTAAAATCCTGCCCTGTCCCGGAAGCCCTCTGCGGGAGAAGCCGACTCCTCTCGCGATCCAGACGGCACAGAAATTCGCGCTTCCAGGCTTCCGCCGCGACCCCAGCCCGGAGTCTCCTTGCCACCCTTTCTCTTTCCCTTCGGGACTTGCTTAGCGGCGCCAGCCAATCGTGTGCAAAGATCATTTGCCTTGGGCTGCAATTCGACCAATCCGAGAGCTCGGTGCTGACAGGTTCTGTGATGATCAAAGATGGCTGCGCCCATGTAATACCAGCAGCGGCAACTGACCTTTCTGTTTTCCTCCTCGTCACCTGGTCCCTGTGGCGGCAGACGGGGCACGAGGGCCATGCTGGGCCGGACCCTCCGAGAAGTGAGTCGAATTGTCTGCTGAGGGTCCAAGAGGTCGGGAAGATTCGGGGAATCCTTGTTCTTGTGGACGAGGGGTCCCCCTTCCTGACCACGTCTTGGTCAGCCTCGCTGCCTTCTTCCTTAGAACTTGGGGGGATTCGGACCTCCGAGTCCTTAGGCTGTGCTCCTTGTATCCTTCCGGAGTTAACATTCTCAGCGGGGAGGGCTTCTGCACCGCGGCGTTGTGGGGTGGAAGGCAGAGTGGCTTCTCTCGATTATTCGTTAGCTCAGGCTGTCTCCAGCCCTTGATGGCCTCGAGGTAGGCTCTGCCATATAAGGGGGATTTAGCTAGTCCTTGTCCGCTACACTCACCTGATGCAGCCCTCAGTAAGGAGCCCGCAAATCTGTCCCTTGCAAAAGCCAAACTAGTGATTCTTAGCTCCCCACCCCCACCCCGCATATATTCATTCTCCAAGCTTCAAGAACCTCCAAGATACCAACGATTTTATTACCTGTGTCTTCATTTCCTCCACCTCATTTTTGGACTGTAGGCTATATTTGTGAATGTTTTCCGGACATCTCTTCCAAATGTCCCACAAGCACCCCAGACTCAATTTAACCAAAGTTGACTTAAGCATTGTAACAGAACCACCTCTTGCCTGTCAACCTACATCATAAAAAACAAAAACCTGATTTCTGATATTCTGTTGTTCAGGATACAACTGTTATTCCAGTTGCCCTTAGATTTTTCATTATATGTCATGTCCAGTAGGTCACTAAACTCTGCTCATTCTTTTTTGAAATTATGTCTGGAGTCTGTTCTCTCATTTTATCCCTGCTCTTAGGGCTTTAATTCAGATCTCCTTGCTTTCTGGCACAGATCTCCCAACCTGCCGAGCTGTCTGATAGCAGGCCCACTGCTATCAGAATCACATTGGGCCCTCCTTAAAAACTACAGCTGTGTCCCCCTCATGCAGGTCACTATGGTAAGGCCCAGAGGATATGGTTTAACCTTAGCTCCCAGGTGATTCTGCTGATAGATTATCAATTGAGGACCTACCCCAGCTTCCATCTGCCTTCCATCTTCCATTTATATCTTCACTTGGGAAGTCTTTTTCTTTTTCCAGCTGGCAACCTTTTAGAAAACTATAAATTATGAGAACTTTAAATTCATCAGCTTTAAGTAATAAACAGCTATTCCCTCAATACATTTTTGTTTTACCAGACTAAATTGCATTTGCTTATACTGTCAGTAAACAATCTAATTTGTTCTTGAAAAAAATTTTTTAATATTTTTTAACTACAAACTTAATGTAAAATGAAATACAACCTAAAAAACGGGGTATTTTTTTTTTCTGCCCTTTCCCCCAGCACTACCTTTTTTTGTGCCACGCTTTCTCACTAATGTCCAGTGAGCCATTTTGAGAACAATTGTTACCTCGAGGGGGAAAATATGTTTAGGGAATCTCACCCAAGGGTAGCCAGAAAGTTGCCTTGACATGATTACTTTCATTTAGTCACTCTTTTAACAAATATTTATTGATGCCTATTGTGCAAAACATTATTTGGTTATTTTCCCTGACCCTCATATATCCTCTGTCCACTCTGTTATTTCCACATCATTGTACCAGTGCCCCAAATTCTATGAATTAGAGATTAATTTAGTACATATTCCATTTTAAAGATGGATCTTTACACATTCCATACGTAAAGATGCCTGGGACAGTTGAATGATTTATCCATTGTAATGATAACAATCAGATTTCTCTCCATCACACTCTGGCTGAGATTATCATTGAAGGAAGAGAAAATCTGTAGGGGAGGGGATTTGGGGAAGGACTGGACACTGTGGTGTTTTGAGACAACTTGAGGGACCTGAGTGGAGGCTTAGGGCGAAAGAGGAGCCCTGGGAAGAAACACTGATGTGTGTGTGAGTCAGTCAGTCGTGGCCGACTCTGCGACCCCATCGACTGTAGCTCAGCAGGCTTTTCTGTCCATGCGATTCTCCAGACAAGAATACTGGAGTGGACTGCCATTCCCTTCTCCAGTGGATTTTCCCAACCCAGGGATTGAATCCATTTGAGCTATAGAGAAGCACTAAAAGGAGGTAAAATGCCAAATGGGAGATAAAACTGCTACTTGTAAATTTTAGCCAGGTACGTTCAGGAAGGGGAAGAGTCTTACTTTCAATCTTTGTTTTTTAGTGGCCTGATCCCAGTGTTTCTAGGAACCAAACACCATACTAGTATTACTGGCCCTATAGTTATATTAAATGATTATTGTTATATTAAAGAAAATGAATTTTATATCCAATAGATTTCTTAGGGGTCTAGCCTAAGAACATTTAATTACTGTTCTATGGGAAAATAGATTCCAAATTTTAAACAACTCAGTTCATTCCTTCAGTTAACGTTTATTGAGCACCTCTGTTCTAGACACTGAGGATCAATATGAAGACAGAAATTCCTGCCCTTATGAAACCTACGTTTGTGTGGGGAAGGAGGCATTAAATAAGTTTAATACTATAATTTCAGGTAGTAGAGGTGCTATGAAGAAATGTTAAGCAGGCTATTTTGCTGTTCACTCACTCAGTCCTGTCCGACTCTACCACCTCATGGACTGCAGCACACCAGGCTTCCCTGTCCTTCTCCATCTCCCGGAATTTGCTCAGACTCATGTCTGTTGTGTCAGTGATGCCATCCAACCATCTCATTCTCCGTCGCCCCTTTTCCTCCTGCCCTCAGTCTTTCCAGCATCAGAGTCTAGTGTGAGAATTAGTTGGGGGATATGGATGTTTTAGAGTGATCAGGAAAGTTTCTCTGATATTATATATCAGTTTCTCTGATCAGAAAGTTTCTCTGATATTATATATCAGTTTCTCTGATATATAATAGAGGCCTGAACGATAAGAGGGTAAACCCTGGGAAGAACTGGGAGAAGGGTCTTTCAGGCAGGAGGAAGAGTAAGTGGAAAGTCTCTGAAGCAGGGGCAAACTTGACATGTTCAAGGAAGCTCTCTTCTCACCCATGAGAACTAAATGAGGAGGAGAGTAGTGGAAGATGAGGTTAGGGAAGCAGGAACCAGATCACCTTTCAGGCCAGGGGAAGGAATGTGGGTTTTATTTTAAATGTAATGCAAATCCTCTGGAAGGTTGTGAGTCTTTGGACATGATCTGATTTACAATTTAAAAACCTCCAGGCTACTCAGGATTGTGATCTGGAGGAAGGCAAATGGAGAAGCAGGGAGGCCAGTTAGAAGGCCGTTGCCTTGTCAAGAGTTAATGTGGCATGGACAGGGTGGTGGGAGCAGAAGTAATGTAAAATAGGGGTTTCGTTTCTTAAGTTTGGGCTTTCTGACGGACTGGATGTAGGTTTGATGGAAAGAGACGAGTTAAGGAGGATGCTTAGATTTGGGGCCTGGGCAAGTGGCACAGTGGTAAAGAATCTGCCTGCCAGTGCAGGAGACGCAGGAGATGCGGGTTCAATCCCTGGATCAGGAAAATCCCTTGCAGAAGGAAATGGCAACCCACTCTAGTATTCTTGCCTGGAGAATTCACAGACAGAGGAGCCTAGCAGCCTATAGTTCATGGAGTCACACACAGTCAGACACAAATCAGCACAGCACGCAGCATCAAGATGGGACAGACTCTACAGGGAGCATGTTGTGAGGAGAAAATTATCAAGACAGGATAATTTTGAGATGCCTCCAAAGATATCCAAGCGAAGAGGTTGGTTAAGCAGATGGATATAGGAATGTGGCGATCAAGAGAGAAGCTAGCCATGAAGATATGAGTTGGCCAGAGTGGAGGAGATAATTGAAGTTATATGGTCACATGAGATCACCTGTGAAGGTGAGTGTAAATATAGAAGGCGGCATAAAACTTTCCAACATTTCGAGGTCAGCAGTGGGAAGCACAGCTAGCAAGAGAGACTTGAAGGAATGGCCAGTAAGGCCGGAGGAAACCAGAAGGGCTTGGTGTCCTGAAATACAAGTGGAGGAGAAGTGCTCCCAGGAGGGGGTGATGTTGAAAGCTGACCCAGACTGAGTGTGACTGCTGATTTAGGAATGTGACGCTGACTGGTGATCCTGAGGTGCTGTTTCTTGGAACAGTGGAGACAAAAGCAAGGATGTTAAATGGGTGTGTTAAAGAGAGTACCAGTCAACCAGACACTTGGCTTCCAAGGGCTCTTCTATACCTTCAGCATTGATCAAGACAGTTTTTCTTTTGAAAGACAGTTCTTTTCCTCAGTGACTCTCTGATGTTACTGATACCTGTGAAGTTAATAAAATGTTGTCTATCGGTTACAGAGGAGTAAATGCTATTACGCTTTGCACAGAGAAGTAGTGGAGTATAGTGGAGCATGGGCTTCAGAAACAAGATCAGACCTTAGTTGAATCCCAGCTCTGTTGCTTTCTAGCTATGTGATTTTAAGCAGGAACTTCAGTAATTTATCTGTAGACTGGAAATAATAATATCAGCCTGTTAGTGTAAATGAAATGTAAAACATATAGGATAACACGTGGAACTAAGGGCTATTATTAGCACTGATTTTGTTACAGTGATAAAATTACTAGATTATATGTGTTTATAGTTTTCTTTTCCCTTGTTCTCTAAGAAGAGTAGTTCCTGTGGAAGATTTCCTCATTTTTCTAAGAAGGTGTATTACTTTTCTATTGCTGCATAACAGATTTGTCTTAAAATAACACAGTGTTAAAACACCCACAGTCTTACCATCTCACACTTCTGTGGGTCAGGGCTGGCGTGGCTGGCTTCTCTACTCAGTCTCACAAGGCTGGACATAAGGTGTCAACCAGAGCTGCAGATTCCTTGGATGCCTTGGGGTCCTCTTTCCACCTCACCGGGGCAGGGCCCTTTGCTTCGAGGTTGGAGGACTGAGTTTTCTTGCTGGGTGGTAGAGTGGATGAGCTCAGGAGGCAGGAGACGTGGGATGATTAGAGCTGCGGTCTGGGAGAACGCACGGATGCTGGTAACGACATGGTCTGGGCTGTGGCCGTGCGAGTGGGTCACTGGGGTGGAGTGAAAAGTGTGTGCCAAGGGAGCTCAGGAGCTGAGGCCTGGTGTCAGCGCGCCTGACGTGACGCTTGAAGTCAACAAAAATAGCTACAGCGAACCAGCTGCTAAAGCCTTGCATCAGCGAAAAGGAGTACCAGGGAGACTGTTGGGAGAGTCATATAATCTCCTCCAGGACCTGTGCGTCAGGTGAACTGGGGGTTTTGAGAACAGAGGCAAGGAAAACGCGTTGCGGACAAGGGTAACAGCTGCCCACACCCTCTGCCCTCCCCACTGGACTCTGGTGCATGGTAAGTAAGAACTAAAACAGCCATCCTGTGGGAAAACTGCAGGAGAAGCAGTGGCCTTGAGGAAAAGTCTAGTTTCCATTAGAGAAAAGAAATGCTAGGCAGAGAGAATTTGTTTTCTTAATGAAAACTTTTCCACTTGATTTCATCTTCTATTCAGATATGACACTTTTAGTTTTGCTCCAGGGGATCTGTACATTTGTCACAGTCCTTATGCCTAGTCCATTCTAGCTAACTAGCATCTTTGTTTTCATTTCCCTTCTCCAGTACCCTTATTGATTTTCTCAAATCTAGATTTCCTAAATATGGTCCTAACAAAGATCACCATTTAAAATGAGTACTCCCAGAACAGTATGGAGCTTCCTTAAAAAACCAAAAATAGAGCTACTGTATGACCCTGCAGTCCCACTCCTGGGCATACATCCAGAGAAAACCGTAATTTGAAAAGATGTATGCACCCCAGTGTTCATTGCAGGACTATTTACAATAGCCAGAACATGGAAACACCCTGAATGTCCAACAGATGAAAGGATAAAGAAGATGTGCTATATTTACACAATTTACTCAGCCATAAAAAAATATGAAATGATGCCATTTGCAGCAATATGGATGGACCTAGAGATTATCATACTAAGTGAAGTAAGCCAGAGACAAATACATGATATCACTTATACATCGAATCTTAAAAAATAATGATATGAGTGAACTTATATACAGAATAGAAATAGACCCACAGACATAGATATCAAACTTATGGTTACCAAAAGGAAAGAGGAGGGGATAAACTAGGAGTTTGAGATGAACATATACACACTACTACACATGAAGCAGAGGACACACAAGGACCTACTTTATAGCACAGGGAAATACACTCAATATTATGCAGTAACCTATAAGGGAAAAGAAAAGACACATTTGTATTTGTGACTGAATCATTCTGCTGCATACCTGGACCCAGCAGAGCCCTGTGAATCAGTTACACGTCACTAAATAAAGGAATGCTGCAGACAGGCTCATTTCTTACCTTTGTAACCACAGCTGCAACTCTACCTCTTCCTGTCATGCCAGCTGGTGAGTCAGCAGGCAACTTGAGGATAATGGACATTAGGCGACTTGAGGGGAGACAAACAAGAGGAGGCAATAGCAGACATCATCTTCCTCATGTTTACAATTTTGCTCTGGGGTAGGCCTGTTGATGAGAGTTCCCTGGTGGCTCAGACGGTAGGGCGTCTGCCTACAATGTGGGAGACCCGGGTTCAATCCCTGGGTCGGGAAGATCCTCTGGAGAAGGCAATGGCAACCCACTCCAGTACTCTTGCCTGGAAAATCCCATGGACGGAGGAGTCTGGTAGGCTACAGTCCACGGGGTCGCAGAGTCGGACACGACTGAGCTGCTTCACTTCACTAGGCCTGTTTATATATCTCTGTGTCCATGTGCTTCTGCAAGTTCTGATTCTTGCACCCAGCCTATTTACATAAGCCTGCTCCATATTTACAGTATCACAACACACTGCTGTCTTTTCTTTCTTTTCAGCTCCACTCTTCTCAAGAGTCATACAAACCATTCAGCAGTAATACCTCTTTTGTGACATTCAGTTATCTCCTTTGAGTCGAGCCCAGCTGCCCCTCACCAACCCGCACCCTCCCAGTATCCCCATGGTAGCCCTTTCCTCCTCCTGGGCATCAACAATAGGGGCTCTCTCAGTGGCCTGTTCACACTGCTTTTCCAGCTCAACACCCTCAGGCCTAAGAATACCACCTCTGATGATTTATTCAACAGTTCAAAGCAGAACACTTGCAGATTTCCCCCTAGACGCAAACTCCTACTGCTTGATACACATTAGGACACGTGCAAACAGTCAACATACAGGACAGGCTAAGCTTCCACTGGTGCAGAGAGAAATCGTGAAGGAGCAGATGTTAAGAAGTTACCCTTTACTATTTGTGTGACTTTGAGCAAATCACTTAACCTCTCTGAGCTTCAGTTAATTTATCTATAAAGTGAGGTTAATAATCAGCTGGTGGTTTTAAAGGCTAAATAAAGGGATAATGCATGTAAAGCCACAGTAGTGCCTTGTCTTGGTGTTGAAGCTAAACCTCACTTCAAATTTTTACATTTAACCACTCTATCTGCCTGTCTCAGTATAACATTCGAAACTTCTGCAGACTCAGCAAGCGTTTTTTTGAATTGTGTACCTCCTAGGTTTCTGCAGCACTGAAACAAGGCCAGGTTACACCAACCGAGCTCTGTCAGAGATGTCTCTCCCTCATCAGGAAGACCAAGTTTCTAAACGCTTACATCACTGTATCAGAAGAAGTGGCCTTAAAGCAAGCCGAAGAATCAGAGAAAAGGTATAAGAAAGGTAAATTACTTTGAATTGTCCTTAATTGTTACATCCCGAGAGAGTGAGTTTAATTGGATATAGCAGTCTCCATTTGGCAGGTAGAGCTTTAAACATAAAAAAACGTTTCCTTATTTAAAGACCTGGGGAATTCCCTGGAGGTTCAGTGGTTAAGACTCCACACTTCCACTGCTGGGGGCTCATGTTCAGTCCCTGGCTGGGGAACTAAGACCCCTCAAATCTCGTGGTATGGCCAAATAAAATTATTTTTTAAAAGAAGAACTGGTGTGAGGTATAATAAAAATGAGACTAATAGGTATGTGGTGCTTTATAATGTCCAACTCGTAATAATTTCTAACACAAATTTGATTTCTGCAGAAGTATCTTTAGCAGAAGCTAGTAGCTGTCTTAATAACTAGGATTAATGTCTCTATATTTCGAACTAGATATTTTTTCTATTCTTTTGGTTTCTTAATGCAGGTCACTCACTGGGGGATTTAGATGGAATTCCTGTTGCAGTAAAAGATAACTTTAGTACGTCTGGCATTGAGACAACCTGTGCATCGAACATGCTGAAAGGTAAAGTTTAACTAGCCTGAGCATTGTTTTTATAAAAATAAGTGTTTTTCAGTTTAAATTAAAGATAAGATACCAATGCACCAAGATATCTTAGACTAATTATACCTGCAAAGGAAATAACTTAGGGTGGAATATTACCTTCTTACTATTTGCTCCCTCAGAATGCAAAGTTATTCTGCAGGGGTAGGCCTGCCTAACAGAGGAATCCTATTTAGGAAGCTAACATCACTGTAAACACACTAGGTGAACTCTAACTCCTCTAACTTCCACCCCTTGATAGTGTAGAAATAAGTATAAAGTGGCTCTCATTACCCCTCTTTTGCAGATGGTATAAGGATTTATTATTAGTAACATCTACTATCTGATTATTTTTTATCTCCTGGCTCCTCCACCTTATATCACTATACTTAGTATAATGATGCTTAGTTTTAATTTTTGAAGTTTAGTAGGTCAAAAAGGAATCATATTTATCAATATATGGTTGGATCCTAGGAGGAAAAAGAAATGGAAAAAGGATAAAGAACTTCACACTAAAACTAATATTCTGAGGTGTATGCCCCAAGTTCCTCTGATAAAGTAGACTGTTGTTAATTGTTTGCGAATATACACTAGATAGAGGAAGTTTTACTTGACAATAAAGATCTATTCCTGCTGGAAATAGATAAAAATTGCTGGGTGATATAGCACATCTGAGAAGAAAAAGTCAGTGCAATGAGCAAAATAATGATTTGTGATTAATTTCAAATGAGTTGGGTACCTCTCTATCATTCAATATTTTGTAGTACTATTAACATCAATATTTTTAGATTATAAAGATGGTGAATATAGAGACTTTCTTTAGAAAATATAGCAGTCAGCAGCAGAAAAAAATTAACTTTCAGAAGAAAGCAACTTAAACTAGGAATAAGTAGCATTTGTCAATATGAATTGCTTAATCGCAGTTTAAAATTGTTTCTTACATAGGATTTACATGTTCACTGTTTTCTTTCCTATGAGAAAAATTACTGAATTTTTAGGAGGACAGGAGCAAGGAAGCGGAGGGGATTAAGAGGTATAAATGACTATGTATGAAATTAATAAGCCATAAGAGTATATTGTACTGCACAGGGAATATAGACATTTTATAATAACTTTAAGTGGAATATAACCTGTAAAATATTTGAATCACTATGTTTTACATCTGTAATATAACATTTAAATCAGCTATACCTCAGGGGTTTTTTTGTTTTTGTTTTTGTTTTAAAGAAAACTGAATTTTTTTCAGGTTATGTACCACCTTATAATGCCACAGTGGTTCAGAAGTTGTTGGATCAGGGAGCTCTACTAATGGGAAAAACAAACTTAGATGAGTTTGCTATGGGGTAAGTAAAATTAAAATTTTCTTTTCCTGTATTTCTTTCATCTGTCTCTTCAATTTCCTTACGTGTAGGTACCTAAAAGGTGATTTCGTGAGGCCTCTCTTGCAAGTATTCCTCAGTCCCTTCACCGAAGAGTAGTGAGGTGATTTCATGAGGACCCTTGCCAGTTTCTCAGTCCCTCCACGAGAGATTGTGTTCTGTGGATAGATCTTATCTCACTTTGGTTTTGATTTGCATTTCCCCAATGACTAACAGTGTTGATGATCATGTGATTATTTTGCTATCCGTGTATCTTTGGTGAAGTATTTATTCAAATCTTCTCAATGAGTTGTAAGAGTTTTTTCCCATATAGTCTGGATTCAAGTCCATTATCAGATAGGTGATTTGCAAATATGTTCTCTGAGTCTCTGGCTTGTCTTTGCATCCTCTGAATATGCCTTTCAAATAGCAAAAGTCCATGAAGTCCAGTTCATTGTTTTCTTCCTTTAATGACTCATGTTTTTTGTGTCTTTTCCAAGAAAGCTTTACCTTTTCCAAGGTCATCAAGACTTTTTTCCCAATGTTTTCTTCTAGAAGTTTTATAGTTTTAGTTCTTAAATTTAAAATTGTGATCCAGTTAATTTTTTGTATATTATGTGAAGAAGAAAAGTTCATTTTTTTGCATATGTCTATCCTGTATATCTGGGACTGTAGGAATTCAAATTAAATCACTTTGATTCCTTTGCCAAAAATCAGTCCAGCATATGTATAAGTCCATTTCTGGATTCTGTTCTGTTGATTTGTGTATCCCTAATCCATTATCATGCTATCTTGATTATTGTAACTTCATAGTAAGCCTTGAAATTAAGTAGTATGAGTCCATCTTCATTGTTGTTCTTCAAATTATTTAGCATATGCTAGGTCCTTTGCATTTCCATATAAGTTTTAGAATTGACTTAATAATTTCAGAGAAGCTTAATGGGATTTTGGTTGTGGTGGTATTATTGAATTATAGATTAGATTTTAGAGAATTGACATCTTAATATGTGCCTTCTGATGTATGACTCTACCTTTCCATTTATTTAGACTTTTTCTCAGCAATATTTATGATTTTCTATATATGAATCTCACACATAATTTGCTATATCTATCTCCAAATATTTCATGTTTCTTTACTATTAAAGAAAATGTTATTTTCAATTTCTAATTGTTTAACATTGTTAGAATACATAGAAATGTACCTGACTTTTCTGTGTTAACCTATTATTTTTATCCTGTCATCTTGCTAAGCTCCCTTATTAATTCTAGCTGATCTTACAGATTATTTGGTATATTTTATGTAAATGATCTTGTAGCCTACAATAGAGACACTTTTATTTCTTTATCTTGCCTTATTGCACCAGTTAGGACCTTAAGTACAATATTGAATAAAGATGATAAGAGCAGATATCCTTGCCTTTTTCCTGATCATGAGGAAAACATTTAGTTTTTCATCAGAAGCACTTTTTATTTCCCCATTTGTAATGTTTGTAATATTTGTTTGGTCTGTGTTTCCTATTTCATAGAAGCAGATTCCTTGACTCTCCAAAACTGGTATCTATTAGAACCTAGTAAATATGTGTTGAATAAATAAATCTGTGGGAATAAACTTGAACCTAGGTTTTTAGGACATTGCCTTGAATGGCTGGTTAATATGAACATTGCCAATGAGGGTGCAGTGATACTCTGTACCTCCTTCCCTGGGAAGGAACACCATCACCTATGCAGTGTTCCAGCTGAAAATGTGTAACCCGAAGCTAATAACAAGGAGACAAAAGACAAATCTGAAATGAGATATCTTCTGTTGAAATGTCAATATCATAAAAAAACAAAGGCTGTGAAACTGTTCCAGATTAAAAGAGACTGAAGAAATTAACACCTAAAACTCGGGACTTCCCTGGTGGCCCAGTGGCTAAGACTCCATGCTTCCAATGCTGAGGGGCCCAGGTTCAATCCCTGTCAGGGAATTAGATCCCACGTGCCACAACTAAAGATCCTATGAGCTGCAACTAAATAAATAAGTATTTTAAAAAAAAAACCTAAAACTTATAGAAGTGTAGGAGAAAATCTTTGTGACCTTGAATTATACAAAGATTTCTTAGATGGAAGACAAAGTACAGTCTGTAAAGTTAAAAACTGGTAAATTGAATTTCATTAAAATTAAAAACTTTTGTACTTAATACACTGTTAAAAATGAAAAAAACAAGCCACATACTTAGCAAAAATATTTGCAAGATATATGTCTGACCAAGAACTGGTATCCAGTATATATTGAAACTCTTCCAACTCAATAATATCAAAGAAGATAAACAATTGACAGACAAACACATCAAACATGGTTAGTCGTTAAGGAAATGCAAATTAAAACCACACTGAAGTACATACACCTAATAATTAGAATGGCTTAAAAAATGACAATATCAAGTGCTGACAGGGATAGAGAACAACTGGATTCTCATACAGTGCTGGTAGGGAATGCAAAATAATATAGCCACTTTGGAAAATAGTTTGGCAGTTTCTTATAAACATACACTTAGCATAAGAGCCAGCAATCTCAATCCTAGGTATTTATCCAAGAGATGAAGGCTTATGTTTATACAAAAGCACTGGCTGGGGCCTTTCACTGCAATATTTATTGTGGCTTTATTCAAATTGCTTAAATCAGGAAAAAAAATTCAGTGTTCTTTGTTGGTGAAAAAAGTTAAAGAGGTTAAAGAGAAAAGTTTTAATATAATTCTCAACTCTAGACTTGATCCTATACTGGAAAAAGGACATTATTGGATCAAATGACAAAATTGGATTAGTGGTAGATTTGATAAAAGTATTGCTGTTAAATTTACTGAGATAACTATACTGTGACTGTGTAAGAGACTATACTTTGTCTTAGGAAAAGCATACTGAATACATACTAAAGTATTTGGGGTAATGGGCCATAATATGTATAATTTACCCTTAAGTAGTTCAGGAAAAATATGCACGGCCACACACACACAGCACACAAATGATACAACAAATAGGGTAAAATGTGAACAATAGGTGAACCTGGGTAAAGGGTATAAGTTTTTTCATACTGTTTTTATTTTTATAATCTATTAGGTTGAAGTTTTTTCAAAAGTAAAAAAGGTTATTAGCATTCACTAAGAATATCTCCCTGAAAAGTTCTTTTATTTTTTTTGGCTGAGCCACACAGCTTGTGGGATCTTAGTTCCCCAACAGAGGTGGGAACTGTGCCCCCTGCAGTGGAAGTGTGGAGTCCTAACCACCGGACTGCCAGGGAATTGCCCTCTTAAAAACTTCTGATTAAAAGAGGAATGGCTTCAAAAGACTACTTGTTAACTGTTTGGATGTTTGTGACACTTTGCAATTGGAAGACCTTAATTTATGAAGAAAATCATCTTACGCTGAATTGGATTATCAGTTGGGATTAAAATTTCCTTTTCTTAACAGCGTGGTTTTTTCCCAACTTTCTGCCACAAATGCTTTTACTTCTTATCCTTCAACTCCTCAACCATCTAATTAAAGAAAGCTACAACTCAGCAGCCTTCCTACCTTTTCTAATTCAAGTTACAGTGGATTTATACAGTGTTAGAAGCAAATAATGTAATCAGGAGATCACATAAAGAGAGTTTTATTAAGATATCTTGCTTCACTTCTTCATCTCAGATCTGGAAGCACAGATGGCATATTTGGACCAGTTAAAAACCCGTGGAGTTATTCAAAACAATATAGAGAAAAGAGGAAGCAGAACTCTCACAGTGAGAATGAGGATTCAAATTGGCTCATAACTGGAGGAAGCTCGGGAGGAAGCGCAGCGGCCGTGTCAGCGTTCACGTGCTTTGCGTAAGACGTTTTTTCCTATCTGTACTTTAGAATCATAAACCATACACAAAATCAACAACAGACTCATTCATACCTTGGTATTTTTATTTCTCCTTAGTGAGTTGTTTGTGCTCAGTGGTCTATCAAAATTGTATCTTAGAAATACCGTCAACTATACAGTACACTTATGTATATTTTATACATTAACTTTAAGACATTTAAACCCTACCTGTATAGTGTCTGGTCTTCTTTAAAACATGATTTTACAGATCTTCTAAAATAAGAATAAATCAGTTAGCTTAACCAGACTTAATTGAATTTCATTTTTTAAATTATATATTTGGGTATCTGCTCACTGATTATACATATATTTAGAGATTAACATACCTTGGCTTTAGTTGAATGCTGCTGAGCTAAATTATTAGCTGCGATTCATCCTTCAGCTGAACCCAACTTTGCCAAAAAATAAGGAAGGATGGAAAGAAAAGGCTAATATTTATCAATAGAATATTTTAAGAAGTGTTTTTATAAATCTGCAACTAAAAATATATATCAGTAAGTAGAGTTTTTTCAAATTTGTAGGGAGGTGATTTGTTCAACTGTCATACTTTGCATTCTGAATCCATCAATCATGCTTTATGTCTTAAGTCATGTTTGTAAAGCATTTCTTAACCATCTAAAAAAGAGTAAATAAATATTGCTGTTACAATATTTATTTTATTGGTCTCAGTTTAACCAAATAGAATGTTTCCTTTGGTAGTACTATATGTATTTTATCTCTCCTTAATTATCCACTGAAACTAAGCTGTTTCACAGGCATTGCAATCAATAAATTATTTATATTTTTTTAGAGCTATGGAGATTTAGATTCTACAGGTTTCTTATTTTTTTTTTTTAGTTTCCCTGAAATCTTGTTAACAAGTAAAACCATTTCATTTTATCTCTGTGGAATTTTATAGTACCACATTAATATTAATGAGAGTTCTGACAAGGGAGGCTTGCAAGCTTAGGTGCTTTTTTCTATCCTCATCACCCGACTTAGTGTTCATCTTACTGAATGTGCTTTGAGAAGGTGGCACTTTGACACATAATTCCTATGGAAATGTAGGTTTTACTTTTACACAGTTGTCAGGGAATCCTAATAAGAAAACGTGTCCTTTTAGAAACCGTGAAAGCAGCAGTCTGATTCTGTGGCTCCAGAGGACTTGGTAAGAAAGGCAGTTAGTTTGCATTTTCTGTAGACACAAGGACCATTGACAGGCAGGAGACTTGTGCAGCCCAAAGCTGCGGTCTGGGTGTGCTCAGGAGGGGCTCAGGCCCAAAGTGATTCCAGACTGAATGGGCCCGGATTGTCACGTGTTCTGATTTGTTTCCTTCCCTATCTGTTTCTTTTATAATAGTTTTTAAAACAGGAAAAGTCTAGGAGTACTATGCAGCCACTAAAAAGAATGAGTTACAGCACTATGTCATGACATGGGAAGAAATCCAAAATACACTGTTAAGTGGAAGACAAGTTGCAGAACAATATGTATTATATGACCTTATTTCTGTTAAAAGTAACAATTACATATGTGAATATGTTAGTTGCATGGAAGTATCTGGATAAATATACATAAAAAGTGGTAATTCTGGGGACTGATAAGAAATTTCACTTTACAGATCATATGAATATCTTAATTTTTACAGTGGACATTGCAATTTTCTAATCAGAAAAACCTCTTTTCCTGAAATAGTTAAAAATTTTTAATTGTGGAAAATATACATACAATTAAAATTTCTCATCTTAATCCTTTTAAAGTATACGATTCAGTTAAGTACATTCACATTATCACTCAGCCAGTCTCTAGAACTTGTTTCTAGAGACTTGCAAAACTTGGAAGTCTGTACTCCTTAAAAGCCTCCCCTTCGCCCCCTCCCCAGGTCCCCAGCCCTGGCAGGCACTCTTTTACTTTATGTCTCTGTGAATTTGACCACTGTAGGTTCCTCATATAGGTAAAGATGTGCAGTATTTGTACTTTCATGACTCGTTTCACTTAGCATAATGTCAAGTGTTGTTTTTTTTTTTTAATAAAAACACAGACTATATCGGTAACTGAGCAAAGAAATGAACAGATGCTTCATAGCTGAGTAATGCAAATACAAATAAGTGTAGAAAATTACTCAAAATGCACATTAACAAATCTTTTATCAAAATAATCAGATTTTAAGAGCTGCTAGTATTCAGTGATGGTGAAAGTGAAGTTGCTCAGTCATGTCCAGCTCTTTGTGACCCCATGGACTGTGGCCTACCAGGCTCCTCTCTCCATGGCATTTTCCAGGCAAGGATACAAGAGTGAGTTGCCATTTCCTTCTCCCGGGGATCTTCCCGGCCCAGGGATTAAACTGGGGTCTCCCACAGTGCGGTAGATGCTTTACTGTCTGAGCCACCAGGGCATGAAAGATAAAACAATGTGGTTCACTGCAGTTGGGAATATAAATTGGCATAACCTGACAAGTAATTTAACAAAATATATTTAGAACTTATAATGACAGGTAGACCCTTTGACCCATTAACTCTTAGAAGCTAGAGATATATGGGCAAAGATTTATGTTAAAAGGTGTTTATTATAAAGTGCTTTATTTATTTTATTTATTTTTGGCTGCACAGCCTGTGGGATCTTAATTCCCTGGCTCAGACCTTCGCCAGTGAAAGCACAGAGTTCTAACTGCTGGACTGCCAGGGAACTCCCTACAAAGTACTCTACTATGCAGTTATTCTAGTTTGCAACAATATGACAGTTTAAATAAATCAGAATGCATTTCTAGTCATGATTCTAAATGGGGTAGCAGAATGGCTGTATCTGAATTCCTGGGAGGGGTGTGTTTAGTTTGTATAAGCATACTATAAAATTGCTGTTAAAAGGAGATATAAGATTTGTATGTATATAAATTGTACCAGTGTTTTCTTAGGTCTTCTGAGGCAACAGAAACAAAAACAAAAATAAATGGAACCTAATCAAACTACAAGCTTTTGCACATCAAAGGAAACCATAAAATGAAAAGACAGCCTACAGAATGGGAAAAAATATTTGCAAACAATGTGACTGACAGGGGCTTAATCTAATCTCCAAAATGTACAAACAACTTGTACAACTCAACAACAAAAAACAAATAACTCAATCAAAAAATGGACAGAAGACCTAAGTGGATATTTCTCCAAAAAAGACATGACCAGTAGGTACATGAAAAGATACTCAACATCACTAATTACTGAGAAATGCAAATTAGAACTACAATGAGGTACCACACCACCACACACTGGTCAAAATGGCCATCCTTAAAAAGTCTAGAAAAAACAAGTGCTGGAGAGGGTGTGGAGAAAAGAGAACCCTCCTACACTGTTGATAGAAATGTAAGTTGGTGCAGCCACTGTGGAACAGTATGGAGGTTCCTCAGAAAACTAAACACAGAATTACCATATGATCCAGCAATCCCACTCTTAGGCATGGCTTAGTTGCTAAGTTGTGTCCGACTCTTAAAACCCCATGGACTGTAATCTGCCAGGCCCCTCCATCTATGGGGTTTTCCAAGCAAGAATACTGGAGTGGGTTGCGATTTCCTGCTCCAGGGGATCTTCTCAACCCAGGGATTAAACCTGGGTCTCCTGCATTTCAAGTGATTCTTTACTGACTCAGCCACCAGGGAAGCCCTACTCCTAGGCATATATCCAAACAAAACTATAGTTCAAACCAACACATGCACCCCTGTGTTCATGCATAGCAGCACTATTCACAGTACGCAATATACAGAAACAGTCTAAATGTCCATCGACAGACAAATGGATAAAGAAGGTGTGGTACATGTGTATACAGTAGAATACTACTCAGCTATAAAAAAGAATGAAGTAATGCCACTTGCAGCAATATGGATGCTACCAGGATTATCATACTAAGTGGAGTAAGTCAGAGAAAGACAAATACCATATGATATTATTTATATGTGAAATCTAAAATATGGCACAAATTGAATCTATCTATGAAACAGACTTGTAGACAGAGAATAGACTTGTGACTGGGAGTTTGGGGTTAGTAGATGCATATAGAATAGAGAAACAAGAAGGTTTATCTATGGCACAAGGAACTATATCCTGTAACCTGGGATAAACCATAATGAAAAAGAATATTTAAAAAATTATATATATATGTATGTAACTAAATCACTTTGGTGTGTAGCAGAAATTAACATCATAAATCAACTATACCTCAATGAAAAAAATAAAGAACTGAAAGATTTGTATAAGTTTGTATAATTCCTGTGATAGGAACTGGGAGTCAGTTGGGAATTGCCAATTGATAGAATATTTACATATTTAAAATTTTCAATAATCTTTATAACATAGTAAAAAGTCTCATGATAAGCAAAAAAGAGATGGAAACTTATGATTACAGAATGACCTGAACTGTGAAAGAAAAGTTCATTAAAAAAAAGACTTAAAGTTCATATGCCAAAATGTTAGCAGTGTGTGTTTGCCTCAGAGTGGTAGAATATTCTGTTACATCTTTACAGTTTTCTGTATTTTAAGAATTCTGTTATGAGCATGTTTTTTATTTTTGTATATCAAAACAATTTTAAAAGTATTCATTTTAAAAAGATAGATTTCAGATATAATTAGATGTTATCCTGCTAAAGAGAATTCCATTTAAATTTCAGGGCTTTAGGATCAGATACAGGAGGATCAACCAGAAATCCAGCTGCCCACTGCGGGGTGGTTGGTTTAAAACCAAGCTATGGCCTAGTTTCTCGTCATGGTCTCATTCCTCTGGTGAATTCAATGGATGTGCCAGGAATCTTAACCAGATGTGTGGATGATGCAGCCACTGTGTTGGGTATTTATATGATTCCATATAGTTTCAAAGCATTATCAATTCACTGAAAAACAATGTTTGTCACTCATAAAGACTTTTATTTACAGGTATACTAGCTGGGCATGATCCCAAAGATTCTACCACAATTCAAGATCCTGTTAAACCATTTACGCTTCCCAGTTTGACAGATGTGAGCAAACTATGCATTGGAATTCCAAAGGTAACTCTTTACAAAAGTACTGTCAGGTCAAATACAGACAACAGACTTGGGAAACAGACTGGTTGAGTTTGAATCGCTACTTTGCCACTTTTATTAGCTATGTAACCTGAGCACATGAAAGGAGATATGTAAAATCACTCACCTTTTAAGTGTTTAATTTTGAGCTTAGCAATAAGTTTTTGTCCTAGGAGACTGTACATTTTTGGATTGTAAGATGTTTAGCAACATCACTGGTCTCTGCCCCTCGAGGTAGCATCCCCAACCCTACCCTACCACCACTACCCCACAAGTCAAACTGTCTGTAGACTTTACCACACGTCCCCTGGTTGAGAGGAAGAGGATAAAATTGCCCCCAGTTGAGAGCACTGCTGTAGAGAAATAGTGTAAAATCTTTAAAATTTTGAATTAAGGTAATAGGTGTGCCTAGTTTTAAGGATTTAGAGAGAAACAGACCTAGTTGGGAGTCCTGGATCCTCTACTTGCCTACTGTGTAACATTAGGAAGGTTACTTAACTTCTCTAGTCTCAATATTTTTCATTAATAACATGAAGGATGATAGTACCTACATCATAGGACTGTTAAAAAGCGTTCAATGGGAGAACCTTTGGAAAGCATCTAGCAGAATGCCTGATACATAATGAACATTTAATAAGTTCTCCAACCAGATCTCCAGTCTTTAATATTATTATATCCAGTTCACAATATCTAGTATTGTTCTTGTCATGCCATAAATGCTCTTAAATTAGTTCAGTCTTTTCTAACTACCTACTATCAATTTAATCAGGTTTTCTAATATATTGCCAGAGGTTCTGGAGTACACATTTTTGTAAAACCATCTATTTGGATGTTCTGATTTCTGTATTTTGACTTTTTCCAATTAGGAGTATCTTACACCAGAATTGTCAAGTGAAGTACAATCTCTTTGGTCCAAAGCTGCTAATCTCTTTGAGTCTGAAGGGGCCAAAGTAATTGAAGTCTCCCTGCCCCATACCAGCTACTCAATTGTGTGCTACCACGTATTGTGTACATCGGAAGTGGCATCGAATATGGCAAGATTTGATGGGCTAGAATATGGTAAAGTGCCTGTGTTTTGGACTTTTAGGGAAGTTTTCTCAAACATTTTCATTTATTAGTGACAAAAAATATTGTTGCCTGGGATGTTAATGATTTAAAGAAGTAAATTGGTGGATCCTTTTACTGTTGTCATTTTAGCATTATACTCACACTATTCATCATCATAACTCATAGTAAACGAATGAATGAATGAGGGAGTGAACAAATCAAATTTCCCTCTTTGTTATTTTCTTCTCTTTTTTGATTCCTGATGGGTCAGTTAGTCCCAAGGCATGTAAAGAAGAGAATCCATTAAAGTCAATCTCCTGAAATTTTAGTATTGGCCACAAATGTGACTCTAGACCTGCTTCTCAGCCAAAATTTTACTTCCTTTTCAAGTAATGTTCACCTCTTTTGTTTTCAGGTCACAGGTGTGACAATGACGTGTCTACTGAAGCCATGTATGCTGTAACCAGGCGAGAAGGGTTCAATGATGTCGTGAGAGGGAGAATCCTCTCAGGAAACTTTTTCTTATTAAGAGAGTAAGATAATCGATACAGGAATTTTCCCCATTCTTGAAAACTCCAGAGTAAAGTAGTAGCATGTCTGTCAGGCCTTATAAATTTTGCTAAGGAAGCAAAATCCTTATGATTTGAATTAGAAATCATAAGTAAAGGCCTGTTTTTGGTACTTTTGGCTCCTGGTTGTTTAAAAAAAACAACAACAAAACACTGATGCTCTAGCTAGCTAAGTAGGAAGCCTGAAGGGTTTTAGCCTCATTAAATGTCCCCTGTTATTGCTACATTGTCCTCGTGCTGTGAGAGCCTTAAGCAGGAAGTTACATTGGTCTGGCTTTAAAAGGTTAGTGAATCAACCAAACTTCCTCTTGTATCCTGTATCTGTTTGCTCCAAGAAAGAATTCTAAATTACTATGACTTTGGTATAAGTTTTTCACCATCTTGTGAATAGGATTCATCTTTCATACCACCAAGTCTGTTTAAGAGGACATGATAAGTGTGAAAAAGCAAGAATGTACTGAACAGCTTCGTGGAGTTTTGCATATATATAATGGGCATATATGGATATATTATGTATATGAATAGAAAGCATTTTATTCATCTGTGCATCTCCTTAGGGCCAGTAGTTAGCATTCCTTTTTCCAAAAATACTGTGAACAGATACTCTGAAAAGCAGTATGGGGATTCCTCAAAAAATTAAAAATAGAACTGCCATATGAACCAGAAATCCCACTTCTGGGTATATAGCTGAAGGAAAGAAATCACTACCTCACAGCATTATTTGCAATAGCCAAGACATGGAAACAAACTAGTGTCCATTGGCAGATGAATGGAAAAAGAAAATATTCTGTGTGTGTGTATACCCACCCACCCACACACAATGGAACATTCATTATTATTCAAATGGAACATTCATTATTATTCAAAAGAGTATTATTTATTATTTGAAAGAAAGAAATCCTCCATTTGTGACAGCATGCGTGGACCTTGAGGGCATTATCTTAAGCGAAATAAGTCAGAGAAAGACAAATACTGTATGATCTCACTTATATGTGGAATCTAGGGGGGAAAAAAAACACCAAAGCCACAGACTCAGTGGAGTGGTAGTTGCTGGGGAAAGAAAGGAGATGTTGGTCAAAGGGTACAGACTCCCGTGGATAAGGTAAGTTCTGGGGATGTGATGTACAACCTAACTACTATAGGTAATAGCACTGAACTACACACTTTGAGAGCTGCTGAGAGTAGATTTCAGTGTTCTTGCCACCTACACAAAAAACTCTGTGAGGTGATGGGTGTGTTAACTAATCTTACTGTGGTAATGATTTTGCAATAAATACGTATGTCACATCATGTTGCAAGCCTTCAAACTACAGAATTTTATATTCAATTATATCTCAAAAGCTGGAAAACAGAAACTATTATTTGATTAATGGAGAAATCAAAGGGCTTTGCTGTTTGCTTTCCTTCTCTTCTGAATACCTGCTGTCTCATGTCTGAAAATGACTTCCATTTTGTCTAGTTTTCTGATTGTTTAAAGCTGTGCTTTTGAAGCATATTAGAAGTAGGTAGGAAGAAATTTAATAGAAGTATTTGTTCTTTTATAGAATTCAGTTTTGGGGAATGCTGTTAATATGTTATTTAAGCCATCAGCTGCTGGGTAAATTATATGTGATGCCTGCATTCATCACCCTATAGACCCTGTGGTCAAATGATAATAAACATATCTGGTATTTCTATAGCATTCTTTCAAGATAAAAAAGATTTCTCATTTTTATCTCATTGTATTTGGTCCATGCAAGGTTGGAATTGTTATATCCATTTTTATAGGTGAGGAAACAAGTTATCAATAAAATACTTAATCCTTTTGCCAGCCTGCATTAACAGCTGCAGGAGGATCTAAAGAGTATTTTTCCCCCTTTCTTTCCATCATTGACTTATAGTCACTCCTGGGTCTGGCTAATTCCTCAATCTTTTCAGGAAAGTAAATGTCCTTTACTTTGAGAGTGTGGGTAGTAACCATATCCTTTATTACTTTTTATTACCCAATAAGTTTAGGGAACATCCATCATCTCATATAGATACAACATTAAAGAAATAGGAAAAAAAACATTTTCTTACAATGAGAACTCTTAGGATTTGCTCTTGACAGCATTCATGTATAACATATGGCAGTGTTAATTATATTTATCATGTTCTACATTACATCCCTGGTATTTACTCATAACCAGAAGTTTCTGCCTTTTGACCATCTTCATCCTATTCCCCCTTCCCCTACCTCCTACTTCTGATAACAACAAATCTGATCACTTTATGTATGAGTTTTTTTTTTGTTAATTTATTTTTATTAGTTGGAGGCTAATTACTTTACATCATTGCAGTGGATTTTGTCATACATTGAAATGAATTAGCCATGGATTTACATGTATTCCCCATCCCGGTCCCCCCTCCCACCTCCCTCTCCACCCGATCCCTCTGGGTCTTCCCAGTGCACCAGGCCCGAGCACTTGTCTCATGCACCCAACCTGGGCTGGTGATCTGTTTCACCCTAGATAATATACATGTTTCGATGCTGTTCTCTTGAAACATCCCACCCTCGCCTTCTCCCAGAGTCCACAAGTCTGTTCTATACATCGGAGTCTCTTTTTCTGTTTTGCATATAGGGTTATCGTTACCATCTTTCTAAATTCCATATATATGTGTTAGTATACTGTAATGGTCTTTATCTTTCTGGCTTACTTCGCTCTGTATAATGGGCTCCAGTTTCATCCATCTCATTAGAACTGATTCAAATGAATTCTTTTTAATGGCTGAGTAATATTCCATGGTGTATATGTACCACAGCTTCCTCATCCATTCATCTGCTGATGGGCATCTAGGTTGCTTCCATGTCCTGGCTATTATAAACAGTGCTGCGATGAACACTGGGGTGCACGTGTCTCTTTCAGGTCTGGTTTCCTCGGTGTGTATGCCCAGAAGTGGGATTGCTGGGTCATATGGCAGTTCTATTTCCAGCTTTTTAAGAAATCTCCACACTGTTTTCCATAGTGGCTGTACTAATTTGCATTCCCACCAACAGTGTAAGAGGGTTCCCTTTTCTCCACACCCTCTCCAGCATTTATTGCTTGTAGACTTTTGGATAGCAGCCATCCTGACTGGTGTGTAATGGTACCTCATTGTGGTTTTGATTTGCATTTCTCTGATAATGAGTGATGTTGAGCATCTTTTCATGTGTTTGTTAGCCATCTGTATGTCTTCCTTGGAGAAATGTCTGTTCAGTTCTTTGGCCCATTTTTTGATTGGGTCATTTATTTTTCTGGAGTTGAGCTGGAGGAGTTGCTTGTATATTTTTGAGATTAATCCTTTGTCTGTTGCTTCGTTTGCTATTATTTTCTCCCAATCTGAGGGCTGTCTTTTCACCTTGCTTATAGTTTCCTTTGTTGTGCAAAAGCTTTTAAGTTTCATTAGGTCCCATTTGTTTATTTTTGCTTTTATTTCTAAAATTCTGGGATGTGGGTCATAGAGGATCCTGCTGATTTATGTCAGAGAGTGTTTTGCCTATGTTCTCCTCTAGGAGTTTTATAGTTTCTGGTCTTACATTTAGATCTTTAATCCATCTTGAGTTTATTTTTGTGTATGGTGTTAGAAAGTGTTCTAGTTTCATTCTTTTACAGGTGGTTGACCAGTTTTCCCAGCACCACTTGTTAAAGAGGTTGTCTTTTTTCCATTGTATATCCTTGCCTCCTTTGTCAAAGATAAGGTGACCATAGGTTCGTGGATTTATCTCTGGGCTTTCTATTCTGTTCCATTGATCTATATTTCTGTCGTTGTGCCAGTACCATACTGTCTTGATGACTGTGGCTTTGTAGTATAGTCTGAAGTCAGGCAGATTGATTCCTCCAGTTCCATTCTTCTTTCTCAGGATTACTTTGGCTATTCGAGGTTTTTTGTATTTCCATACAAATTGTGAAATTATTCGTTCTAGTTCTGTGAAAAATATCGTTGGTAGTTTGATAGGGATTGCATTGAATCTGTAGATTGCTTTGGGTAGTATAGCCATTTTGACAATATTGATTCTTCCAATCCATGAACACGGTATATTTCTCCATCTGTTTGTGTCCTCTTTGATTTCTTTCATCAGTGTTTTATAGTTTTCTATGTATAGGTCTTTTGTTTCTTTAGGTAGATATACTCCTAAGTATTTTATTCTTTTTGTTGCAATGGTGAATGGTATTGTTTTCTTAATTTCTCTTTCTGTTTTCTCATTGTTAGTGTATAGGAATGCAAGAGATTTCTGTGTGTTAATTTTATATCCTGCAACTTTACTGTATTCGTTGATTAGCTCTAGTAATTTTCTGGTAGAGTCTTTAGGGTTTTCTATGTAGAGGATCATGTCATCTGCAAACAGCGAGAGTTTCACTTCTTCTTTTCCTATCTGGATTCCTTTTACTTCTTTTTCTGCTCTGATTGCTGTGGCCAAAACTTCCAAAACTATGTTGAATAGTAGTGGTGAGAGTGGGCACCCTTGTCTTGTTCCTGATTTCAGGGGAAATGCTTTCAGTTTTTCACCATTGAGGGTGATGCTTGCTGTGGGTTTGTCATATATAGCTTTTATTGTGTTGAGGTATGTTCCTTCTATTCCTGCTTTCTGGAGAGTTTTAATCATAAATGGATGTTGAATTTTATCAAAGGCTTTTTCTGCATCTATTGAGATAATCATATGGTTTTTATCTTTCAATTTGTTAATGTGTATTACATTGATTGATTTGCGGATATTAAAGAATCCTTGCATTCCTGGGATAAAGCCCACTTGGTCATGATGTATGATTTTTTTAATATGTTGTTGGATTCTGTTTGCTAGAATTTTGTTAAGGATTTTTGCATCTATGTTCATCTGTGATATTGGCCTGTAGTTTTCTTTTTTTGTGGCATCTTTGTCTGGTTTTGGAATTAGGGTGATGGTGGCCTCATAGAATGAGTTTGGAAGTTTACCTTCTTCTGCAATTTTCTGGAAGAGTTTGAGTAAG